CCCCGCCCACCTTCCAGAACCCTCCGGGTCACGTGACCCACCCAGCGGTCCCCGCCCACCTTCTAGAACCCTCCAGGTCATGTGACCCACCCAGCGGTCCCCGCCCACCTTCCAGAACCCTCCGGGTCACGTGACCCACCCAGCGGTCCCCGCCCACCTTCCAGAACCCTCCGGGTCACGTGACCCACCCAGCGGTCCCCGCCCACCTTCCAGAACCCTCCGGGTCACGTGACCCACCCGGCGGTCCCCGCCCACCTTCCAGAACCCTCCGGGTCACGTGACCCACCCAGCGGTCCCCGCCCACCTTCCAGAACCCTCCGGGTCACGTGACCCACCCCGCGGTCCCCGCCCACCTTCCAGAACCCTCCGGGTCACGTGACCCACCGGGCGGTCCCCACCCACCTTCCAGAACCCTCCGCACCACGTGACCCAGCCAGCGGTCCCCGCCCACCTTCCAGAACCCTCCGGGTCACGTGACCCACCCAGCGGTCCCCACCCACCTTCCAGAACCCTCCGGGTCACGTGACCCACCCAGCGGTCCCCGCCCACCTTCCAGAACCCTCCGGGTCATGTGACACAACCAGCGGTCCCCGCCCACCTTCCAGAACCCTCCGGGTCACGTGACCCACCCAGCGGTGCCCGCCCACATTCCAGAACCTTCCGGGTCACGTGACCCACCCAGCGGTCCCCGCCCACCTTCCAGAACCCTCCGGGTCACGTGACCCACCCAGCGGTCCCCGCCCACCTTCCAGAACCCTCCGGGTCACGTGACCTCCCCCGGCGGTCCCCGCCCACCTTCCAGAACCCTCCGGGTCACATGACCCACCCAGCGGTCCCCGCCCACCTTCTAGAACCCTCCGGGTCATGTGACACAACCAGCGGTCCCCGCCCACCTTCCAGAACCCTCCGGGTCACGTGACCCACCCAGCGGTCCCCGCCCACCTTCCAGAACCCTCCGGGTCATGTGACACACCCAGCGGTCCCCGCCCACCTTCCAGAACCCTCCGGGTCACGTGACCCACCCAGCGGTCCCCGCCCACCTTCTAGAACCCTCCGGGTCACGTGACCCACCCAGCGGTCCCCGCCCACCTTCCAGAACCCTCCGCACCACATGACCCCTGTAGCGGTCCCCGCCCACTTTCCAGAACACTCCGCACCATGTGACCCACCCAGCGGTCCCCGCCCACCTTCCAGAACCCTCCGGGTCATGTGACACAACCAGCGGTCCCCGCCCACCTTCCAGAACCCTCCGGGTCACGTGACCCACCCAGCGGTCCCCGCCCACCTTCCAGAACCCTCCGGGTCACGTGACCCACATAGGTGTGTGTGATCCTATAGGTGTGTGTGATCCTATAGGTGTATGTGTGATCCTATAGGCGTGTGTGTGTGGTCCTATAGGTGTGTGATCCTATAGGTGTGTGTGTGATCCTATAGGCGTGTGTGTGTGATCCTATAGGCGTGTGTGTGTGATCCTATAGGTGTGTGTGTGTGATCCTATAGGTGTGTGTGATCCTATAGGTGTGTGTGTGTGTGTGTGATCCTATAGGTGTGTGTGTGATCCTATAGGTGTGTGTGTGATCCTATAGGTGTGTGTGTGTGTGATCCTATAGACCCACAGAGACCCACAGAGACTCACAGAGACTCACAGACACCCACAGAGACTCACAGAGACACACAGAGACTCACAGAGACCCACAGAGACCCACAGAGACTCACAGAGACCCACAGAGACTCATAGAGACGCACAGAGACCCACAGACACACACAGAGACACACAGAGACACACAGAGACCCACAGAGACTCACAGAGACCCACAGAGACTCACAGAGACCCACAGAGACTCACAGAGACTCACATAGACCCACAGAGACCCACCGAGACTCACAGAGACCCACAGAGACTCACAGAGACCCACAGAGACTCACAGAGACCCACAGAGACTCACAGAGACTCACAGAGACCCACAGAGACCCACAGAGACTCACAGAGACTCACAGAGACCCACAGAGACACACAGAGACTCACAGAGACTCACAGACACCCACAGAGACTCACAGAGACACACAGAGACCCACAGAGACTCACAGAGACCCACACCCACAGAGACTCACAGTGACCCATAGAGACTCACAGAGACTCACAGACACCCACAGAGACTCACAGAGACACACAGAGACTCACAGAGACCCACAGAGACCCACAGAGACTCACAGAGACCCACAGAGACTCACAGAGACACACAGAGACTCACAGAGACCCACAGAGACTCACAGAGACCCACAGAGACCCACAGAGACTCACAGAGACCCACAGAGACTCACAGAGACGCACAGAGACCCACAGACACACACAGAGACACACAGAGACACACAGAGACCCACAGAGACTCACAGAGACCCACAGAGACTCACAGAGACCCACAGAGACTCACAGAGACTCACAGAGACTCACATAGACCCACAGAGACCCACCGAGACTCACAGAGACCCACAGAGACTC